TGATATTCCTTCGATTTATAAGGAAAATTGCACAGCATTGCGGGGTTTGCTTGACAATGCGCTTAAACATTATAGAGCCCTTAAGGCAATGCAAAGGCCTGTTGACGCTTGGGATGATGTAATGATCCATTTGCTGTTGACTAAACTTGACTCAATTACAGTGAAGGAGTGGGAAACGAGTCGGACGGACGCGTCAGTACCTACATTCAAGCAGCTTGTTGACTTTTTGGCAAAGCGCTGTCAAGCGTTGGAGACAATCTCGAGTAAATCATCAATCGGGCGCATAAGTTCGGATGCATCAAGCAGCACGCAGAAGGTCAAAAATCTTAGCGCGCACGTAGCCACGTCAAATCAGGTTTGCATTCATTGCAAGAATAAACACTTCATATTTCAGTGCGAGTCATTTCGCAAGCTCCCTGTTGAAAAACGTTTTGAGATCGTAAAGAACGCTCATTTATGTATTAACTGTCTAAAGGCAGGAAGTCATCAGGCAAAAAGTTGTACTTCAGGTTCGTGTCGTAAGTGCGGAAAGGCGCACAATACTTTATTGCATTTTGAATCGTCGAGGGTTGATGAATCAAAACAAGACAATTCATCGTCCATCCTTGCATCTAATACGGTAAAGCCATCCGCTGTGGAGTCATCATCTCCAATTGCCACTCAATGTACACAAAATAATAGTGCCGTCAAAGTGTTTCTTTCCACGGCTATAGTCAATGTATACGATGACAAAGGACAGTCTCATGGTTGTAGAGTTTTATTGGATAGCGGTTCCCAACTGAATTTTATTACCGAAAAGTTTGTAAATAAATTGCAACTTAATACTCGTGACTTGCATATGTCCATTTCCGGAGTGGCCGAGGAAAGGTTTGAATCGAAAAGGATTGTCAATATTAGTTTCAGATCTCGAGTAAACGCATATATTAATAGCGTGGAATGTATAGTTCTTCCCAACATTACGCAAAAATTACCGCAAGAATTTGCTCCCATATCAGAATTTAAAATACCATCGAATTTAGCACTTGCTGATCCTAATTTCAATATTCCAGATGATATCGATATGCTCATAGAAGCTCAATTGTTCTGGCAGCTCATTTGTGTGGGACAGATTAAAGCTTGTAAAGCGCATCCCACTTTACAAAAAACTAAACTTGGCTGGGTAATTTCCGGTCCAGTATGTTATTCATCGAGCGAAACTGCAGCAGCAGCGTGTCACCTTACAGCGATAGATAAGTTGGACAGGTCTATTTCCCGATTTTGGGAAGT